TCAATTCTCCTTCTGTCCTCCCTAGTCATTGTCCAACTCTCTGATGAGATCATAATATTAAAGTTATCCATTATTAAATACTCAGAATCTTTGAGGTGTTGTTAATTGCCATCAAGTCAAGCACAACTCACAGTGACCCTATGAACAAAAGGCCTGACGCCTTTCTATAACTATCATCATTTATCAAACTTCATAGAGTTTCTAGAGGCATGTTGTTTAGGACGTGGATGCCACTCCTGCTTGAATATATGAGGAGTAGAGCCAAAATTCAGACTCTGCTCTGCCTGACTCCACAAGTAAAATAAGGAAGGCTGTTTCTGTTTTCTCAATCATGGGCTACTTCTCAATCAATGAATTTCAGTCAGTCAGATTTTACCCATTTGGTTCTAGAAATTTAGACTAGAGAGAGCCACAATTTTATATTATCAGCTAGGAGAAAGGATCAGAGGTGAAGTTCTTGGGTTGCTCATAGTCTCCACCTGCTAGTATCATTGTACCCCCCTGCATTTTGACTTCCAGGAGTCCTTGCCAGCTCACAGCTCTAACAGGCAAGTGGAACCGACGGGGGGGGGGCAGAGAGGAGCTTGCTTCATTTGGTGCCTGAAGAAGACAAAGAGAAGGAAAGGTGGTGTTCAAAAGAGTGTGGCCACACAGTCCAGCTTTGCTTTTCTATTATGTGCCTCACCAAGAATGAGAAAGGACAACAGAATTCTGAGTAATTATTGGGAAGGGGGTGAGTAAAGTAATAAAGTTATTATGATTGTAAGGATATAAAATTATTAATATGGATGGTAGTGCGGTATAAACATATATTAGATGAGAATAGTTTTTCACAATTAGTTGAGAGAGCTAGAATAATTTTTCAGGTATTATTCCATTTTCTGTAAATCTTATTTTTGTTTTACCAGTTAAAACTTCACTTTCATGGCAGTGATTTTTAGTTTAAAGAAAACACATAGGTTCTTAATGAGTTGAATGTTTCTAGTTTGAGTTTCTTTACCTTAAAAGTTTTCTTTTTAAAAACTTTACTAACATTTAAGACACAGGATGCTAAATGAACTGTAGGCATATGAGGTCCTTTTCTTCACTGGCCTAATGAATAGTCACGTGACAGTGACCAAAAAGTTTAGTCCTCTGAGCTCCAGTTTCTTCTCTTTGTAAAATGAGAGGATTGATGTATGACTGTATTTTTTTTCTCTAGCTGTGACAATCCATGATGCTTTGATAGTATATTTTTGTGCAAAGAAATGCCAGGTTAATTCTAGGTTTGACTATCCCTTTTCGTTCATCTCTAAGCCTTGTACATGCTCTCTTCCAGGTGGCTATGGGCTTCTTCCAAGTAGGCTTTGTCTCTGTCTACCTCTCGGATTCCCTGCTCAGTGGATTTCTCACCGGTGCCTCCTTCACTATTCTTACATCTCAGGCCAAGTATCTCCTCGGACTCAGGATTCCTCGGAGCAACGGTGTGGGCTCACTTATCACGACCTGGATACTTATCTTCAAAAACATCCACAAGACCAATGTCTGTGACCTCGTCACCAGCCTTTTGTGCCTTTTGGTCCTTGTGCCAACCAAGGAACTCAATGAGCACTTCAAGTCCAAGCTGAAAGCACCAATTCCCACTGAGCTCTTTGTCGTTATAGCAGCCACATTAGCCTCTCATTTTGGAAAACTAAATGAGAATTACAACTCCAGTATTGCTGGACACATCCCCACTGGGTTTATGCCACCCAACGCCCCAGACTGGAACTTAATTCCTAGTGTGGCTATAGATGCAATCGCTATTTCTATCATTGGTTTTGCTATCACTGTGTCACTTTCTGAGATGTTTGCCAAGAAACATGGCTACACTGTCAAAGCAAATCAGGAAATGTATGCCATAGGCTTTTGCAATATCATCCCGGCCTTTTTCCATTGCTTCACTACCAGTGCGGCTCTTGCAAAGACATTGGTCAAAGAATCAACAGGTTGCCAAACTCAGCTTTCTGGGGTGATAACAGCCCTCGTTCTTTTGCTGGTTCTCCTGGTAATAGCTCCTTTGTTCTATTCTCTCCAGAAATGTGTTCTTGGTGTGATCACTATTGTAAATCTCAGGGGAGCCTTACATAAATTTAAGGATCTGCCTCAAATGTGGAAGCTTAGCAAAATGGATACAGTTATTTGGTTTGTTACTATGCTGTCCTCTGCATTGCTAAGTACAGAAATAGGACTCCTAGTTGGAGTTTGTTTCTCGATGTTTTGTGTCATTCTCCGCACTCAGAAGCCAAAGAGTTCGTTGCTTGGCCTGGTGGAAGATTCTGAAACCTTTGAACCAATATCTGTTTACCAGAACCTTCAGACTAAGCCAGGAATTAAGATTTTCCAATTTGTAGCTCCTCTCTACTACATAAACAAAGAATGTTTTAAATCTTCTTTATATAAACAAACTCTGAACCCAGTCTTAATAAAGGCAGCTCAGAAGAAGGCAGAAAAGAGAAAGATCAAAGCGGAAACAGCAACTTTCAGTGGCAGCCAGGATGAAGTTTCTGTGCATCTTTCCCATGATCCTTTGGAGCTCCACACTATAGTGATTGACTGCAGTGCAATACAATTTTTAGATACAGCAGGGATCCACACACTGAAAGAAGTTCGTAGAGATTACGAAGCCATTGGTATCCAGGTTCTGCTGGCTCAGTGCAATCCTTCTGTAAGGGATTCCCTGGCCGGAGGAGAGTATTGCAAAAAAGAAGAAGAAAACCTTCTTTTCTATAGTGTGTATGAAGCAATGCTTTATGCAATGGAATCTCAAAGTCAGAAAGGAACAAGTTTTCCCAATGGTCTCAATCTTTCCAGTGATTAAGAAAGTAGATGGAAGGAAGAATAGATAATGTCTAGCCAGGGGGTTAAGATGATCCATTTTCACTGTGGAAAATGTTGTACACATAAAATTTTAGCCTAAAATTTTACTCTTCCTTTGAAGTTGATTGCCTTTACATAGACATAAGTGCAACAGAGTTTATAGTTAAGAATGAATTTAAAAGTATATTGGTCTAAAAAAAAAATATATATATATATTGGTCTCAAGCTTTAGTGCAGATATACAAATGTTCTTGTTATATGCAGTTGAGTGGACTGACTCAGTGGCCTTGACACATTGCCTTCCAGTCAAAATGGTCTCACAGCTGATCATCCAAGGGGTTTAGAGGCAGCAAGTTGCATGGGAGAAAACTGCCCATCTCTTTCACAGAGCCACTGGTGGATTTGAACCACCAGAGAAACATGGCCTTTGGGTTAACAGTGCAGCTTCTCAGGGACTATGCTGCCAAAGGTTCCTAACCATATATACAGCAGAATGAAACTGCACAGCCCTGTATCATCCACACAGTCCTTGCTTTGCTTGCCACTGTAAAACTATGTTTCATCAAGGGCTTCCTCTTCTTTGATTATCTAACATTTTACCAAGCACTTTCTCTAGGGGTTGGTCCCTCTGATAACATTGCTGAAGTATGTGAAGTCTTGTCATCCTCGATTCTAAGGAGCATTCTAGATGTACTCCCAAGACAGACTTTTCTGTTCTTCTGGCAGTCCTGTGTTAAATATTCTTTGTCAGAAACTAAAAACATAAAAAATCCTTTTTTTTTTTTTTTTGTTTCTTGATCCCTTTTCTATAGCCTTCACATGCATATGAAGTGAATTAAAATCCCATGGCTTGGGTCAGCCATGTATCTTTGACTTTTTTTTTTCCATTTCATTTTTACTACTTCACATTTTCAGCAAACAAATCAAGGTAAAAACAGGGTTTATTTCACATTAATATATTAACTGGATTTTTGTCAAATAAATAGGAGTTCTCTTTAAATAACCATCTTCTCCCATCAGGGCCAGGCCAGGAGCGCATGAGAGCACATTTTAGTGCATTAGGCATTTGGGTGCCATCAACCAGGCAAGAAGTAAACAGGGAGGGGGCAGGTGGGGCCCCCTGGGACATGGAGGGTGTACATGCACCCCACTTCCAGTCTCTGATGCCCCTTCCAGAGGAAGAGAGGTGAGAAAAGGCAAGAAAAAGATTCCAGTCTCGACCCAGGGAGCTGCAGGCCCTCCTACCAGCGCCAAGGCCTGGGGCTGATGCCACCCAAGTCCCAGAGCTCCCTGTAAAACACTCTACAAGTTGGAGTGGCCAGGGTGACCAAGGATGGGAAAGAAAGTAGCAAAGTGACCAGGGCCTGGCCTAGGCTGGGAACGGAATGTGGGCCAACAGGCAGACACTGGGGTGGGACCTCAGCTTCTCTGGGAAGCGACAGGGCAGTGGAAGGAATGTGGGTCTGGCCTAACAGGGCCCCGTGGGGAAGAAGCTGCAGGCCTGGAAGACACAGGGCAGTGCTGGCCCATCAAGCTCAGGAGGTGAGAGGCAGCGGGCAGGAAGTGGCTACCAAGAGAAAAGTGGACTGAAGTGGAGAAGGTGACCAGAGTTGCTCCCTGGGAAGAAGCTACTTGAGAGAAACAGGAAGTAGTGGGGACACCTCAAGGTCCTGAGGCAAGCCCCAGAGATGGAGAAAGAATCTCAGCTGACAGTGTCCGTGGGCTCTGGGCTAACGTGGGAAACTGGAGACGACTCCTCACAGATAACACTACGCACTTCTGTTTATCATCCAACTGAGAGGAAGAACAGGGTCCTTTCCATGCCGTCCCCAGACCTGGCCCCAGGGAAGAGGAACGAAGGAGCAGTGAGTTGTGGGAGGCTGGGTGTTGTGAGAAGGTCTACTGGGTCTTCTTGTCTTCAGGGGGGTAGTATGGAGGTGGTGGAGGCTGGCTCGTGGGCATGTAGACATTGTGTGGGTTGCCCGGGTTGTAGTAGGTGATGGCAGCTGCTTCTGCAGCCTTGCCAGCTGCAGGGGTGGAGGGGACGTCAGGGCTGCTGACTGGGGGCTCCATGGGTCCGGGGTAGGGCGGTGGTGGGGGCTGCACGTACCCCATAGCCCCGTCCATCATAGGAGCGCCTGGATAGAAGTCAGGTGGGGGCAGTGGATAGGGGTAGCCAGGAGGGCAGGCGTACATTCCATTGGCGACGGGTGGGGGAAAGACATAGCCCCCGCTGGGCACGTAAGAGTACCATAGGCTCCATTGGGAACTTCACCTCGGGAGGCTTGAGAGGCCACCTGCAGCATTCGTTGTCTGAACTCAATGGCGCCTCCTGCTGAAAAGATCAGTCTGTAGGAAGCAGAGCCTTCCCAGCCACCTCCAGCTTTGGCCTTCACGGTCCCCTTGATGTAGTTGGCACCGAACACTGGCTGCTTGATCTCACAGTCCTTCATCAGATAGAAGGGCATCATGAAGGACTGCATGGCATCCTTCCCCTTGGACAGAAAGATGACCCGGTATGGAGTCAGGTAGACAGTGCCTTTCTTGGTCCCTTTGAAGGCTTCCGGCACATTTTTCATGTCATTGAAGGTTAAGTTCCACATGGTCATAGGACATCAGGATGCTCTCAGTGTTGTTGACGATCACTCCGCCACCTTGCGAGTGATTCTTGCTGAGGGCCATAGTCTCGGAGAGGGGTCCCGAGACTGGCAATCGTATCTTTGCTTTTGAATACTTGAAAAGAGCTTTTGCAGTAAATTTACCCACAGCACTAAGTCATCTCTGTCTTCTCTGCTTATCCTGATGTTGCTTCTTGGTTCAGTTCTGAGGAATTTTTGTTTTCTTGATATTGCATTGTAATCCATACAGAAAGCTCTGATCTTTATCAACTCAGCTTTACATTCTCTTCACTTTCAGCAAGAAATGTTCTGTGATTTGCAGATAGTTAATAAGGCTTCCTCCAACCCTGATGCTGCATTCTTCTGCAAATAGTTTAGCTACTCAAGGTATCTGTTCAGCCTACAGATTCAATAAATATGGTAAAGGATGCAACCCTGACCCACATCTTTCTTTATTTTAAACCATACAGTATACACTTGTTCAATGTTTAAGTTCCACATGAGCAAATTAAGTGTTCTGGAATTTCACTTCTTCACAATGTTATCTATAATTTGTAGGTAACATTGGGTTCTGACCCACACAATCAGATATTTTTGTATAGTCAGTAAAACACAGGTAAACATCTTTCTGATCTTGCTTTCAGCCAAGATCCATCTAACCTCAGCAATGAGATCCTTTGTCCCACCTCCTTTTCAGGATCTGGCTCGAGTTCTCTATGTACTGCTGTAATCATTTTTAAATTATTCAGCAAAATTTTGCTTACTTGCGATATTAATGATATTGTCTGATGATGTACACATTCCACAGGAGCACCTTTCTTTGTAATGGGCACAGATATGGATCTCTTCCAGCCAGTTGGCCAGGTAGCTGTCTTTGAAATTTGTTGGTACTTCCAGGATTGCATTCATTTGATTAAATATCTCAGCTGTTTTAATTCCTGAAGTCGTGTTTTTCACCATTATTTCAGTTCAGCTTGTCATTCCTCTTTCAGTACCAATGGGTCTTGATCATATGCTTCCTCCCACAATGACAGAACACTGACCAATTCTTTTGGTTCCATGATTCTATTCTTTACATTTTTTTAAAATGTAAAGTTTTTAAAATGTGAAGTTTTTAAAAAATGAAATGGACCATTTGAGGATAGATACTCTAGGGATTAGTGAGTTCAGATGGAATAGTACTGACCATTTTGAATCAGTCGTATGGTCTACTGTGCTGGGAATGACTAACTGACTGCCTCACATTCATTATCAAAAAGAAAGACTATTTCAAGATCTGTCTCTCCTGAAGTATGACCCTGAGCTCTGGTGGCCTCCTGGTAAGCTGCACTGCAATCCCGAAGGCATGTGGTTCACACCCACCAGCTGCTCTGTGGGAGAAGGACGGGCAGTCTTCTTCTGTGCAATTTACTGCCTCTGAAGACCCACTGGAAGTTCAGCTAGGGGTCGATTCTGACTTGACAGCACTCAGTAACAGCAAGGAAAATCAGTTCATATGACTGTTACTCAAATTTATGCATCAGCCATAATGCCAAAGATGAAGAGATTTAAGATTTTTACCAACTTCTGCAATTTGAAATGGATCAAACATGCAAACAAGATATAATGATAATTACTGTTAAGTGGAAAGTAAAAGTTGGAAATGAAAGAACATAGCTGGGAGACGTGTCCTTATGATAGAAATGATGCAGGAAAAACAAATTATGCAAGAGATCACATAATTTGTAGAGAGTTGGACCCCAAGGTGGTGCCTTTCTGAAAGTTGAAACCATCAGTGACTCTGGAAGAATGTTGGGCAATCTCCCTTGCAATTTACAGGAAAATTTCTGGGGAAAAAAAAAAACAAAACAGCAACACTGGGGGGTCAGCGATGAGTTGGTTCTGACTTGACAGCATCTTATTCATTCAGTAAGATCAATCACAGCACCAGTTGGCAGCACCATGCTAGATGGAGAGGAGATGGCAGTTGTTAACAGTTTCAGCTTACTTGGTTTCACAATCAACATTTTTTATACCAGCAGCCAGGATATCAAAAGACAAGTTGCATTGGGAAAATCTGCTGTCAGGGACTTCTCCAGAGTGCTGAAGAGCAACAATGGCAGTCTGGAAAATAAGGTGAGCCTGATTCAGGCCATGGTCTTTGCAGTTACTTGCTATTATGCAGCAGAGAACTGGCCAGTACTAAGGATGGCAGAAGAAAGAGTGATGCCTTTGAGTTGTGGTGCTGGAGAAGAGTGTCGTACATTCCATGACCTGCCAAAAGAACAAACAAGTTTGTCCTGGAGAGGGTGACACCAAGTGCTCCTTAGCGCAAAGATTTTGTAGTTCTGTCTCACATACTTCAGGCATGTTGCCAGGATTGACAAAGTAACTGGGATAATGG